CAACCCGCCGGTAGCCTGAGGGAGCAGCGTGCTCCACAAGGAGACTGCCAACAACTGGCATATCTTATGCAGAATCTTGAAGTTCTGTTGAATAAATACATGTTCTGAGATTAAAACAAAGGCAGAGAAGGGTGACAGCATATCGTCTGATGTCTGTATATATATGCAGCTGAACACCATGCTCTGGAATTGCGTGCGCAGAAACGATGTTGGCTCAATAAATAAAGTAGTCATTGACATTAATTTTCATACTGCCTGTTTGTGTCTGATTACTAATTAATAAATACTTTATCAGTTATAAACTAAGGGATATACAAGTATACACTGAAAAATGTCATGTAATTACTACTGGCCAAGGCGAACTATGATCAATACACCATGACGGTGGTAACACATTAGTGAACATAATGAAATCCAAAGTTATTCCCTTAAGGATGCTAATATTGATAGTTGCCCTTTACCTCCTTGCCCTTTACTTTCTCATATCTAACAAGGGGACAACAAATGCAGGACGATTTTGCAGTTCTGAGTACTACTGACAGTAAAGAGAGAAGTAGCCGTGAAAGGTTCAGAACACCTACAACAAAAGAACTGTTCTCTAAAAACCCAGCTCCTTGAGTGGTGTACACAAAAACTTAGGATTGATCGCAAATACTGTGTGTTTACATGACTATCATCATTAAGAAAATACCATGATGCTGGGTTAAATTTCAGTGGAGTCTTTCCAGAAAAACAGACAGAAGGGTCTAGGATTGCCACACATCAGGAAACATTTAAGCATCTTAAAGGATGAAGTTAGACCAATAAGGTTTTTGAATCCGTTCCCAGCCATCTATACAATGGTTTTCAATAGGACAGGCACAAACCTGCCAAGAAAGAACAACAAAAAAGAAATTTCTTTAAGAAAAGATTAAATTATTGTTTAGTGAAGCAGTTTTGGTTTTTTTTAAGCCATGCAATAAACATTGCTTTTTATCAGTGTCATTCTTTGAAATGAAATGTGTGACCCTGTCTCAAAATCTCAGACCCCAATTTTGGAGGTTGTTTTGCTTTGGCAGAATGGGTGTCTGCCAGCACAAAGGGGCCTGCACAAGCACACTGTGAAAAGTAAGTTTTAAGTATGTATGCTTGAAGGCTGGAATTTGTTACCTTCTTAAAAAGGTCATTGATGTTCCATAATTGAATATGTTTTAAAATTATGTAACTGTCTTTGCTGTTTGTTGTTTGTATTGAGAAGTGATGGAGAGGTACATGTACAAATCTAATCTGTGCCTGGGAGCTGCCTAGTGCGTATTGCACAGGGCTGAAACCTTCCACATGATTCTTTGCTGATATATATACAACAGGGTGTCCCAGTGTGATGCAGGGATTAAAGCAAATTTTGCTGGACTCCTTGGGATGCTAGTCACATTCTAGGTTGTCTACAAAGTGGTCTTATTGGCCTGTCTCTCAAAATCTCTCTCCATGTTGTTATTTTTAATACAGAGAAGCAAGAAATAGTAAAGCAGGGACTAGACTGTGATTTCGGTTCAGTTCAGATTCTGTAAGTGGTAATAGCCATCTCTCTTAAAAGTGTGAATATCTTTGGGTATCTCAGAATAAGCAACACAATAAGCCAGGCCCAGATTCTTCAGATAGAGAAGCAGAATTTCAAATAAAATTTTAGCAAAATTTCTAGACATTGAAGGAGAGAACTGGAGGTAGTTAAACGCCTTTCATTTAGACCACTTCATCAAAGCCATTTTAGTGTTTCCCAGCTCTTAAGTATTGCCAGCCTGAATTCTGCCTAAAAGGGAGAAGTACAAAATAATGAATGGCAATCAAAGTGAAATGATTTAATCTAGTATTTAATCTAGTTAATTTAATCTAATAGTAGATTTAAATCTAGTATTTAATCTTTTGAAAAATACGAGAACATAAGCAACTGAAACTATAAGGCTACAGAGACAACTAGTGATTACAAGAAATACAGGGTATGGAAGGTGAATTTTTTTTTTTTTTGGGGGGGGGGGGGGGTCTGCTTTAGGAGAATGCATGTTTGGCATTGAATTCTTCAGGGTAGGGGATGTTTATTTTTTTTTTTTTTTGGGGGGGGGTGGTGTCTGCTTTAGGAGAATGCATGTTTGGCATTGAACAGCAGATAGTCACCAGCAATATGTTTGCTTTTCCTTTTCTCCTTCCTTACTTTCTGACTCCATGGTGACTCTTTAACATAGAATATAGGCAAGACAAATATAATACAGAGCAAAACAATATATTTGGAAAATAGTGTAATTTTACACAGCATGTAGCTGGCTTGAATCTTGCTGTGACAACCTTGTAGGATTTAAAACATGAATTGCAGATACACATGGGTAACATAAATATCCCAAATGATATTTATGGATGGAGCTTAGGAAAACATATTTCTGTGGACAGTTTATTGCAATAGTCTGCTTTCTTCTCACCTTCCTTTTCTGGTCCTGGCTGTTCTCAATCAAAAAGTGGTGGGATCAGATGGATAGGTGTTCTCTAACATAGCCATTATTGTGTTCCTTTATTTTTACAGTGGGCCCCGGGGAAAGATTGTATTAAATACCAGGTAGAAAAAAACTGTTGAATGGGAAGAGACTGGTCTGTCCACCTTCCCTATTGCTTCACTCTTTCACTTCTGCAGTTCACTTCCTCTGCATCCACTGGGAGGTCCTGGGTGCTCTTCTATGATTTTAACTTTTCATTCCTCCTCTTCTGGTGATTTCACTCTTTTCTCGTCAGAGATGCTCCGCTTCCTATTGCCTGGCTGTTATTCAAAAACATTTATGGCAAGACTTGTAAACAATCTCTCTTATCACAAATCCAGTGTCTTTCAGAGAACTAGATACAAACAAGCCTAACTTCAGGGAACTTTACCTGTTTGTGATTTAAAAAAGCAAAGCAGCGCACATTTAAAAAAGCAGAGCACAATTTTATGTGTGAACAGAAAATTTTAACCATGTTAATGCATTCTGCTGAAGAAAATAAAACTTCATACAAGTCATACAAAATATAGTAAGACATTACCAGTGACTTTTCCAGTTTTTAGAAATTCTTTGATAGTTATCACAAGTCCAGTGGGAAAGGGAGGGCCCTGAGGTACAGGAATTATTCAGAAGACATACTGTGGCTTTTGTTTACTCAAGATCAAGTAACCAATATCAAAGCTGCAGTGAAGAAAGTATGTTTTTACAGAGGTGATCAAAACCAGCTGGCTTCTTTTGTGCTCAACAGTCCATCACATGCATATTTTTTTATTCATTATTCTACTTGGAACGTTGATGGCGGAAATACCTTTGGCTTGTGGACTCAACACCATAACTGCGATGAGAAAATTGTCACTTCCTCTTGATAACTAGTTGTCCAAAAGCCATAAAACATTATTTCTCCATGTTAAATCTAAAGCCTTTACCTATTTTTCTGCATGTCTATTATGGCTAATAACCTGTAAGTTCAAAGACAGAGGATATAATGCATGTTTTCTGCTAAATTTAGACATGAACTTTTCATAAAGAAAGGGCTACTATATTGAAATCCCAGGTATTTCTATTAGTGAGGCAGGTTGTGTCTGTAGGAGATGGTGATTTATGCAGATCATGCCTAGCTTTAGGGAATCTTTTTTAATCTATCCATGCCAGCAGCCACTCTTCACCTAGCAGAAGTCCAGCTGTCTATTAAGCATCTGACATAATAATCTGGAAAGGATATTTTATCAAATGAGCCGCAGTTAATTGCTTCTAAATGCTTAAACTGACTACACATAAATCACAACTGGAGTCCTGATATGAAACCAGGAATGGTTTTCTTCTGAGGTATCTCTGCTACTTTAATGTTGCTTTTGGCAGTGAAATAACACTAGGCAGATAGTCTTGGTTCCAGCAGACTGGATCAAAAAGGGGGTCCTAAGACTGGGGATCACAGGCACTGGAAGTGAAGGAAGGGGGCCCCAGGTTCCCAGCATCACTGCATCTTGCAGCCTCCCGCTGCTGCATCTTCCTAAGGAACAGACTGGTTTCCACCAAAGAGACTGCCCAGGAAATAGTCAGGCATAGACCAAGCCCCACTCTCACAGGCTTTTGTCCAAATGGCACCGACAGACCTATCCAGTTCCTAAGGCTGGCTGGACGGAAAAACTAGGACAGGTGACCAGTGCCCATAGGGAGTGCAGCAGCAGATCAGATGAGTTGTGAGTGTTGGCCAGGCAAAATGACTGAAAGCCAAGGAAGGGAGCTCCGAAATAAGAGGGAAGACTTGGGAGAAGAGGAGGAGAAGAAAGAAAGAAAGAAACATAAACCACTACAGCTCAAATTTTAAATAACGAAGCTGTAATAGTTGAAGTCTACATTAAAGTTAGAACCCTTTGAAGAGCTATGAATATTAAAAATATAAATAATTAAAAAAATTTAAGAAATTAAGAATTAAAAGAAATTAAAAGAAAAACCATAGTGTCCCTGTAGATATTGTGAAAAGTGGAAAAACATTACAGTAATCAATTTTGTGCTGCAAAGTCCCACAGATCTAAAGTTATGCCAGATATTTTTAAGAGCTAATCTTCCTATGGAATGAAATTAATTCCTGCATAGAGCATCAAACCTATTGACTGCTGAGACTCAATGAAATCCAGGCTGAGATGTACTTAACTGGCTTAACTTGAAGTATACAAAACAACATTACCAGCAATACTTTTTTTTTTTTTTTTTTAAATATAACTGTTAAAAATGTAAACTGTAAAAAAATATTCCTTATTCTGGATTAGCCTTCCATATGGTCAAATCAGTGTATACGTACCAGTATATCTTTGGCACAAATAGTAGTTTATAGAACTAAACTGAAGAAATACTTTCAAGCTGAAGTGTCACCTATGGAATAGAAAAGGTTACCTGATACAGATAAGACCTTAGAGTTGCAGCTGGTTTATGTCTTTCAGGAATGATTTTTCTGTGTAAGTAAAACCTTTAGAAAATAATATTCTTACTTTCGTGGGTCATTTATATTAAGGTTCTCAAAATTAGAATTAAACAAAACAGATTAAACATCCTTATCTTATAGGATGAAGAACTACTGAAAGTACGAGTGCCATTTGCTTCTAAATAATATCCAGTGACAGCTGTGACAGTGTTATATTCTGCAGATGTTATATTGAGTATATTATTTCCAAAGGTAGATTGAAAATCTTCTGTTTCAAGATGTGTAGATAATGTCACATTACTCTGAGAGGTAAATGGAAATACAGTTCTGTTAGACAGGATCTTTTCTTCAGAGGCTTCTGTATCAGAAAGTGAATTTGAGGATACATGAATGCAAATATCTTCTGAAATGCAAGCATGGAGGTAATGGATGTCATTTATATCGGCTCTAGGTTCACAACTTTGCCCTGCATAACAGTGGCAATCAAATTTTTCTATGAACATTTGCAGATCCTGAAATGCCGGTTGCCCTTGCAGAGTGTATTTTCCATCCTTTGTCATTTGAATGACAATATTCTTGGGGTTCAAGTGAAGATAGTCACTGGAATTCCATTTTTTCCTTGCACAAGCACCAGCGTCTTGGCATAACACTTGGCTACAGATTCTGGCTGCCATCGTGACATTGATGAGGTACGGGGTCAAAGTCCTCCTCAGGTAGTTGTCTAGAGTCCTACAGGTGTTCTGTGGAAAGAGCATCATATCTGCAGTGTTTAGTACAGAAACCATTACAATGCTGTCATTATAATAACAGTACCATAGTAGATATCTATGAATGTTTCTCCTGAGGTTTTGATAATAGTTATAACTGGTTGTTGGAAGCAAGTTTATCTGAGAAGTTGCTATATAGCTCAAGGATCACAGCAAATTTATGTTGGGTGGTTGCTGGAGATGTTATGAAAAGCACTTATATAAAAAAACAGATGACTAAGCTCTCATTTTATCTGAATGTTTCATGTAGCACTTTGAATCAGATGCATTGAAAGAAGTTACATGAAGGACTGAAGTTCCTTTTTATGTATCTTGAATGGTTTGAAAGGATATCTTGAAAAAAATCTCACTTCTTCAGCCCAAACAAATATTTTTTCTATCAAATCATTTCTGTAAGACTCTTCCATTTTCCCCTGACCCGAATAGCTAGGCTGCAGGAGTAGGGAGCTTTCATGGCATTTATGAATGGAAAGTATTTTGGGAAGATGGTCAAATGGAAAGCATGCTAAAAGAATTGATCATTTTAATTGATCATGTTGGCATATATTCTGTGTATGCTTGGCACAGTTTAATAACCAGAGGCTTTACAAACTCTTCTTTTGTTTCTGACTTTCTGACATTATGTCTCCTTAGGACATTTGCCTAATACCACACACGGATACAGCTAATATTTACACCGATGGAGATCACTTTGGTGAATCTGAGGTATGTGTAGTTTTTTTGTTTTTCTTTTAGGTATATATAAAATATATATATATATATATGCCCAAAAATTTTAGTTGATGCAATTCTTGCAGAAATGAGGCTCACAGTAATATGTCAATGCTGAAAGGCTACTGACTCAGATGTAAAGAAAAAGGTGTGGTTAGTCCACAAATACATAGTCTGACTGGGCTGTGGAAAATTTGTTTGTGACCATGGAAAATTCTGTTTGCTCATACAAATCTCAAAATTCAGGCAATGAAAGTTGTTGGTCCTCTATGTTCTGGTAATGGGGTAATGGGCAAAAAAGCTTCAGGTGCAACTGATATGGTTTCTTGAAGGCAGGCACATACAAAAAGGAGTCGAAGTGGGATGATTTGAGGAATTTGACCCTTCCAGAGCTGCTGAGGTTTATTTGGCCATGCTTTCTGTGACAGGAGACCCAGTAGTGCTGAAGAGTTTCACTTCTTTGCTCTTAAAAGACTTTAGAAGAATCTTCCCATGCAGTAGTTTGTTATATCTGCTTGCTGGGTATGAATGAGCTAGTTCAAAAGATTTATTTGAACACCCTTATAAGAATGTTTCTCAAACTACCTATTTGGCCTTCCTAAAACAAATTCAATTTTTTTTGCTCTTCTGACTCAGACCTTTCTTACAGTGAAATTAATCAAAGTACTACTTACACCACACAGAACAGGCTAGAGCTGAAATGTCACAGACTGACTCCTCCTAGTGCTTTAAATGTTATTGCTAAGTGCACAACTTTAAAAAGCAGAAAGGTCTTTTAAAAATTGTTCTGGGCAAGCACAAGTAATTTTTTTCTGTACCTCATGACCAGAATGCAATGAAGATATAGGAATTCTTTCTTTAAATTAACTAAACAGGGGCTAACTTGCCAACAGTTATCATGGTAGCTTGCCTAGTTACTCAGAGCCAACACTGATGTTTTAAAATATTGAACTCTTATTATGTGTAGTCAACAACAATATTCTTAAGCCTCAAATGTGCTTGGTTTTTAGCTAGAAAAGACTGCTGGGAATACGGAGCCATCATTTTAAAAGTAGAAGATATGATGTAAGTAATCATAGTGCTTTATATCCTTTTCATTTTATTGCTCTTTAAAAATGTCATATAATAATTAATCTGGCATACCTTATTTTGTGTTAAATTCATATCACCCCAGATCACAATTCCAGAAGCACCCAGTGCAGCAGATTCTCCAATGGTGTTTACCAGGTCATCCTAAGAGGAAATGTGTGAAGGATTATGCAAATGTAAGTAAGCTATAACATAAGGGCAAAAGCTATAATACATATATCAAATTACACAGCCAAAATAACTACTTTGAAGACAGCAAGCAATTACACATGATGCAAACATTCTGCTCTCGATTACAGTATTTTATTCTGGGACTGGGTTGCACAGGTGATGCCAGAAAATGTTGCCAACTATATCCAATTTATATATGTCATCTGGTTAGCAAAACAAGGCTGTAAAACTGAGCCAGTGGTTAAGCGTATGACATACACTCTTCCAACCATTTTATTTTGCTGCGCTGCCTCCTGGCTGCTCAGAGTTGGTAGTAACTGCTTTCAGTAATGCTGCCTGAAGCACAGGCTGGAAAGAAAGCACAGCTTTTGGTTCTTTTG